TTGTATTTTTAGTAGAGATGGCAGTTTCACCATGTTGGCCAGGCTGTTCTTGAACTCCTGACCTCGTGATCCACCCGACATGCCCTCCCAAAGCGCTAGGACCACAGGCGTGAGACAGCGCACCCAGCCTTCCAATTACCTTTCAACATGTAAACTGCTCTACCCTGCAGAATTCATGTGTGTATTTGGATCTTTGGAATATGCCTACACATTTATCCTACACTTCATACTTTCTAAGATTGCGGCACACATTTTACACCTATCCAAGACTCACTGACTCAAGAGTTAACCAAAACACTCTACCACCAGAGCTCACCAATGCATGACAGCCTTTTGTGGGTGAATTTCCTTTAAATTCAACTCCACTGTGTAGGCAGTCACCCCTCTGATCCCATCTATGGCCCACTTCCTGGATCTCTCCATCACATCTTTCCTTTCACCCATCATGCTACTGTTTCCCGTCCATGAGATACAGGCAAGTAGCTGCGGGCCTAAGGAAGAGCAGCGTCCAATGAGGTGGCGTGCTTGTGTTTGTGTTTTAGCACCAACCTCATATGTCGACAGAGCTCAGCAGTGTGAGGGACAAGTCCATGTTCCATTAGCTCCATTCTTTCCCCAGGGCTTCACTGCTCCTTGTCAGTGGCTATCTCCTCCATGTTGCAAATAGGATTCTCTCCTCCCTTCTGTCAATCTGGTAGGCTCTCAAACTCCGGAAATCGGAGTCCTTTAAGAAGGTGCTTACTAGGAACTAAGGGTGACAAATACACTAACAAGAAGCAGCAGCTCTCCTAGGACTGGCTCCTTTGTATACAACTGCATTAGGAAATGATGCAATGTTACCTACAAAGGCTACCATGAGACGAATTGCAGACCCTGTTAAAAACCACTCTCTGTGGCCATGCAGGCTTCTCAGAATAAACTCCACAAACGTCTGTCCATCTGTCTCCTTATTCTATGTTTCCATTGTGTGCATGGGTTTGTAAGTGGACGTGTGTTCAGAGAAGTGGGGATGGATGGATGCATGCATGGATGGATGGATGGATATATTTTGTTTATGTGTCTGGGTGTGTGACTACTTCTAGGCACAGTTATGCATATGTGTGTCTTTATTTATCTAAATATAACTCACCTTTCATTGATACGTGCCTCTGGGTTTGCTGTTGTCAATTCATTAGTGGGTGAACTAGAGGATGATAAAAGAATACAGTCAGAGAGGAGACACAATTTGAAATTTACTTTTTTGGAGAAACTAGCTTTCATTACTCTGCACATAAACTAGTGAAGTTCTGACTATGCATACGTATAGCACTATTTGGTTCTGAAATGTCACTTTTTTTAATTAGAAAGGAGGAGTTATACGATGGCAACCAACATCTTAGGCTGGGCAAAACAGTAATCCTTCCAGGTTTAAATAAACTTCTTTATTATGACCTCAGTCCCAGTGTGTGTCTGCCTTTGTGGTGGAAGTTATTTCAAACTCAACTTGTGTTTGGAGCTCGTCAGCCCTCTTATTTCACTGAATGTCCTGTTTCAAGGGCTCTCCATTACCTCCTTACTTTCAACCAGCATAGGTGTCTTCCCAGCCCCACAAAAAGAGTCAAGTCACTACAGGACTGACACAGGGGCACAATCCAATACGATGGTGACATGAGGTTTGGAGCACCAGCCTCCATGGTGCCACAGTTCTGGAGGGTGGAGAACACCTCCAAGGCTCTTAGCTTGGTTCCTTTCTGCTGAGGGCTTCACAGTTCCTCGTGTACTTGTACCTTCTCCTTGCTCCAAATAGGTGTCTCTATTCCCACAGCCCACTCCAGTATGTCTCATACACAGAAAATCTGAGTTTCCAACGCATTTGGCTGTTACTAAGGATGAGAAGACAGTAACAGACAGAAGCCTCTCTCTATAGTCTGTTTCTCTTTCCTTCCAAACAACTGTAAAACTATGGAAGTTACTTTACGTGATAGTGATACAAGAAAGAAACGGTCATCTGTTCAAACATACACTGTATTACAGTCAACACTCCTGAAAGTGAATCACAGTAATCTCAGCCTCCTTCTCTGTCACCAATTTGTATGTGTGTTTGTGTGTACATCTTTTTCTTGTTTTTGAGAGAGAGTTTCACTCCTGCTTCCCAGGCTGGAATGCAGTGGCACGGTCTCGGCTCACTGCAACATTCACCTCCCAGGTACAAGCAATTCTCCTGCCTCACCCTCCCGAGTAGCTCGGATTAGAGGCGACTGCCACCATGCCTGGCTAACTGTTGTATTTTTAGTAGAGACGGGGTTTCATCATGTTTGCCAGCCTGGTCTCGAGCTCCTGACCTCAGGGTATCTGTCCGCCTTGGCCTCCCAAAGTGCTCAGATTCCAGATGGGAACCACTGCTCCTGGCCATGTGTACATCTTTTATAACTCACCTGTCATCGGTGGGTCGATCAATAATGACTCCCGCCAGGTCATTCGAATAGGGACTACAGGACAAATATGGTCAGAGTCAGACACAATGAGTCATTCTAACGTTTTGCAACAAATAGCTACAGTTAGTCTATGAGTTATTCCCGGCTTGCACTTTGATTATTCACACATATGTATATCACTAAATTGACCTGAGATGGCATTTGTTTTTTTATTAGAAATGAGGTTTAATATGCCAACAGTGTGTATCTTAGGTGGTGAATATATCGATCCATCCAGACTAAATAACTGTATCTACACCTCAATGTATAACAGCATTTTTGGAAGGCATTTAATTCCAGTTCAACTTCAGTTTGTAAGTCCCCCTTCTTATAATCCCATCTGAGTTCCTCCTTCTTCCAATCACCTCCTCAGTTTGCACCCATCCTAGTTGTCTTTCCTGCCCAAGAGTTACCACCAAGTAGCTGCAGGCCTCAAGCAAGGGCTTCATCCCATGTGATGGTGGGTATGGGCCAAGGGAGTCAGCCTCACACTATGGCAGAGCTCTGGAGGGTGTGAAATACTTCCAGGGTTATTAGCTCTGTTTTTTTTTTTTTGCTGGGGTTTCTCTGCTCTTTGTCCCCTCCTATCTCCTTCTCGCTCCAAGCAGGATTCCCTTTCCCTTGATCCACACGACGAGTAGAGTCTCATTACCACAGAAAGGAAAGGTGACAAACACTCACATAATAAGCCGCCCTCCATGAGTTCTTCCTCATTTTCCTACCTCCATCTCGAAAGCAAAAGAATATTCTGTAGAAAGCTCATCCTGAGATGACTCTATAAATAGTTTCAAGGGAACTCCTTGTCCCCATGGGTGGTCCTGATATTGAATAGCCCAAATCTCCTTCTCTCTTATGTGTATGAATGCATGGATGTGTGTGTTTGTAGATGCATATATACATGTATAATTGTATTCCTTTATATCACATGTTGCAATGGACAGCCTACGAGAAGATACTCTCAGTTCACACACAGTGCAGTGCCAAAGAACTTAAAACGTACATAGTAAGACAACTTGTAACCTCCTAGACTTAACGTTTTCAGTTCAAACTAGTTCCAATTACTTTTCTTTTGCTTTTTATTTTTTATTTTTTATTTTTTTTTCCGGAGACAGAGTCTCACTCTGATGCCCAGGCTAGAGTACAGTGGTGCGATCTCGGCTCACAGCAATCTCAGCCTCCCGGGTTGAAGTAATTCACCTGCCTCAGCTTCCTGAGTAGCAGTAACTAAAGGCACACACCGCCGTGCCTAGCTAATTTTTGTATTTTTAGTAAAGACGGCAGTTTCACGATGTTGGCCAGGCTAGTCTTGAACTCCTGACCTCGTGATCCACCTGACTGGCCCTCCCAAAGCGCTGGGACCACAGGTGTCAGCCAACGCACCTGGCCTACAATTACTTTTCAACCTGTAAGCTGCTCTACCCTACAGAATTCATGTGTGTATTTGGTTCTTTGGAATCTGCCATGCCATTTACCCTACACATCATACTTTCTAAGATTGCGGCACACATTTTACACCTATCCAAGACTCACTGACTCAAGAGTTAACCAAAACTCTCTACCACCAGAGCTGATCAATGCATGACAGCCTTTTGTGGGTGAATTTCCTTTAAATTCAGCTCCACTGTGTAGGCAGTCATCCCTCTAATCCCATCTATGGCCCACTTCCTGGATCTCTCCATCACATCTTTCCTTTCACCCATCATGCTAGTGTTTCCTGTCCATGAGATACAGGCAAGTAGCTGCGGGCCTAAGGAAGAGCAGCATCCAATGAGGTGGCGTGCTTGTGTTTGTGTTTTAGCACCAACCTCATATGTCGACAGAGCTCAGCAGTGTGAGGGACAAGTCCATGTTCCATTAGTTCCATTCTTTCCCCAGGGCTTCACAGCTCCTTGTCAGCTGCTATCTCCTCTATGTTGCAAATAGGATTCTCTCCTCCCTTGTGTCAATCTGATAGGCTCTCAAACTCCGGAAATTCGAGTCCTTTAAGAAGGTGCTTACTAGGAACTAAGGGTGACAAATACACTAACAAGAAGCAGCAGCTCTCCTAGGACCGGCTCTTTTTTATACCACTCTATTAGAAAAGGATGCAATGCTACCTACAAAGGCTACCATGAGACGAATTGCAGACCCTGTTTTAAAACACTCTCTCTGGCCATGCAGGCTTCTCAGAATAAACTCCACAAATGTCCATCCCTCTGTCTCCTTATTATATGTTTCCATTGTGTGCATGGGTTTGTTAGTGGAGGTGTGCTGGGAGAAGTGGGGATGGATGGATGCATACATTTCTTTATGTGCCTGGGTGTGTGACTACTTCTATGCACAGTTATGCATATGTGTGTCTTCATTTATCTAAATATAACTTACCTTTCATTGATACGTGCCTCTGGGTTTGCTGTTGTCAATTCATTAGTGGGTGGACTAGAGGATGATAAAAGAATACAGTCAGACAGGGGACACAATTTGAAATTTACTATCTGGAGAAACTAGCTTTCATTACTCTGCACATAAACCAGTGAAGTTCTGACTATGCACGTGTATCGCACTATTTGGTTCTAAAATATCCTTTTCTTTTATTAGAAAGCAGGATATTTACGATGGCAACCAACATCTTAGGCTGGGGAAAATAGTAATGCTTCCAGAAGTAAATAAACTTCCTTATTATGACCTCAGTCCCAATGCGTGTCAGCCTTTGTGGTGGCCGTTATTTCAAACTCAACTTTTGTTTGGGGGTAGTCAGCCCCCTTATTTCATTGAATGTCCTGTTTCAAAGGCCCTCCACTACCTCCTTATTGTCAACCAGCATGGCTGTCTTCCCAGCCCCACAAAGAGAGTCAAGTCACTAGAGGTCTGCCACAGAGGCACAATCCAATATGATGGTGATATGAGGTTTGGAGCAGCAGCCTCCATGGTGCCAGAGTTCTCGAGGGTGGAGAACACTTCCAAGGCTCTTAGCTTTGTTCCTTTCTGCTGAGGGCTTCACAGTTCCCCGAGTACTCGTACCTTCTCCTTGCTCTAAATAGGAGTCTCTATTCCCACAGTCCACTCCAGTATGTCTCATACACAGAAAATCTAAGTATGCAAGGCATTTGACTGTTACTAAGTTTAAGAAGAAAGTAACAGACGGAAGCCTCTCTCTATAGTCTGTTCCTCTTTCTTTCTAAACTGTAAAAATATGGAAGTTGCCTATGTGTGATACAGTGAGATGATAAAGAAACGATGTCAAAGATACGCTGTATTACTGTCAACACTCCTGACAGTGAATCCCAGTAATTTCAGCCTCTTTCTCTGTCACCGATTTGTATGTGTGTTTGTGTGTACATCTTTTTCCTGTTTTTGAGAGAGTTTCACTCCTGCTTCCCAGGCCGGAATGTAGTGGCATGCTCTCGGCTCACTGCAACATCCACCTCCCAGGTACAAGCAATTCTCCTGCCTCACCCTCCCGAGTAGCTGGGATTAGAGGTGACTGCCACCACGCCTGGCTAACTGTTGTATTTTTAGTAGAGACGGGGTTTCACCATGTTTGCCAGCCTGGTCTCGAACTCCTGACCTCAAGGTATCTGCTCGCCTTGGCCTCCCAAAGTGCTCAGATTCCAAGTGGGAACCACGGCTCCTGGCCATGTGTACATCTTTTAGAACTCACCTGTCATCGGTGGGTCGATCAATAATGACTCCCGCCAGGTCATTCAGATATGGACTATAGGACAAATATGGTCAGAGCGAGATACAATGCGTCATTCTAACATTTTGCAACAAATAGCTACAGTTAGTCTATGAGTTATTCCTCAGTTACACTTTGATTATTCACAAGTATGTATATCACTACATTGACCTGAGATGGTATTTATTTTTTTATTAGAAATGAGGTTTAATATGCCAACAGTGCATATCTTAAGCTGTGAGTATATCGATCTATTCAGACTAAGTAACTGTATCTACACCTCCATGTATAACAGCATTTTTAGAGGGCATTTAATTCCAGTTCAACTTTAGTCTGTAAGTCCCGCTTCTTCTCATCCCATCTGAGTTCCTCCTTCTCTATCACCTCCAATCATCTCCTCAATTGGCACCCATCCTAGTTGTCTTTCCTGCCCAAGAGTTATTGCCAAGTAGCTGCAGGCTTCAAACAAGGGCTTCATCCCTTGATGGTGGGTATGGGCCAAGGGAGTCAGCCTCACACTATGGCAGAGCTCTGGAGGGTGTGAAATACTTCCAGGGTTATTAGCTCTGTGCTATTTTTTTTTTTTGCTGGGGTTTCTCTGCTCTTTGTCCCCTCCTAACTCCTTCTCACTCCAAGCAGGATTCGCTTCTCCCTTGGTCCACACTCCCACAGAAAGGAAAGGTGACAAACACTAACATAAAAAGCTTCCTTCTATGAGTTCTTCCCTATTTTCCTACCTTCATCCAAAAAAAACAAAAGACTATTCCATACAAAGCTCATCTAGAGAGTCCTCTGGAAATAATTTCAAGGCAACTCCTTGTTCCTACGGTTGCTCCTGACAGGGAATAGCCCAAATCTCTTTCTCTCTTGTGTGTATGAATGCATGGATGTGTGTGTTTGTAGATGCATATATACATGTATAATTGTGTTCCTTTATATTACATGTTGCAATGGACAGCCTACTAGAAGATACTCTCAGTTCACACACAGCACAGTGCCAAAGAACTTAAAACATACATAGTAAGACAACATGTAACTTCCTAGACTTAACGTTTTCAGTTCAAACTGATTCCAATACTTTTCTTTTGCTTTTTTTATTTTTATTTTTTTGACAGAGTCTTGCTCCAGGTTGGAGGGCAGTGCTGCGCTCTCAGCTTACTGCAATCTCTGCCTCCCAGGTTCAAGCAATTCTCTTGCCTCAGCCTCACAAGTAGCAGGGACTAAAGGCATGCACCAACATACCTGGTTAATTTTTGTATTTTTCATAGAGATGGGGTTTCACCACGTTGGCCAAGCTGGTCTTGAACTCCTGACTTCGTGATACACCCACCCTGGCCTCCCAAAGTGCTGGGACTACGGGCATCAGCCACCGTGTTCAGCCAGGAAAATCTTTTGATATACAGACCAACATTTCCTTTTGTAGCATCCTACAAAAGGTATTGTTAAGCTGGCATTGCATGAAGTGTATAGAATATAACACTAATATGGGGAGATGTTAAAGTAACAACAGCAGCACTTGTTTTATTTAAATGTAGAAAATTAATTCAAATATAAAAAATATTTTTGGGAATATATTTGTAATCTTAGGATAGGAAAGAACTTTCTGAGTATAACACAAACAGCATTCATTAGTCATCAAAGTACCAATTATATCTCAATACATGAAGCTTATTATAAAGTTCTATGTAAGGTTTCTGTATTTTACTCTAAACCCCAAATGTAAAAACATACTACAGATTTGCCACATGGAGTGGAGATATGACTAATGTATTTGAACAACAAAATTCCTTGAATCTGAAAGATATTGTAAATATGACTTAGCTCACTTAACACCTCACTTTTTAGAAAGAATTTTAGAATCAGTGTCCAGAACACTATTTTCCCAAGAATAATTCTGAGACTGATTTTCACGAACCTGAATTCCTCCCATCTCCAATATATATTATGATATCACTTCTCATTGTTAGCTCCAGTACAGATTTCTGATGTCAATTCATTGGGATTAGTGCAAAGGATTACAAGCAAACAGTAAGAAACAACGTAAATTCATACACTACTTTTTTTTTTTTTGGTTCAAATTGGCTATGGCTGTGTTACAAATTACAGTGTGTTGTCCCTAAAAAATTATCATATAAATCTGTTATTTGGCACCTCATACTTCATTTTTCTCCAGAAAGAAGTCTCTATGTGTTAGGAATATAAATTGGTTAGGACTCTCAAGAAAGTTTAATGAATCAAGATTTAAATACAATTCTTTATTATTGAACCTGATCATCATGTGTGACAGCAACTTGAACTTAAATTTGCTTCAAATTCATGTTCCATTTGAAGGCACACAACGTTCTTGCCCATTTTGATTCCCTAATTCTCAAGTCCCTCCACCATGTGACTCATGCTCTTCATGAGTCACAGCTATCTTTGCTTCTCCTCAAATAGGATCAAGTGACTAAACCTCAGGCAGGGGCTCTATCCAATGTGATGATGGATTTGGGTTTGGGGCACCAGCTCTGAAGGGTGAGGGACAGATACAGGGTCTCTTAGCTCTTTTCTATCTGCTAAGCGCTATTCTGCAGCCTGTCCAGTGCTACCACCTCTTTCTCCAAGGATTCTCTCCTCTCATGAATTGTTCTTGATAGAGTCTCGTACATAGGCATTCTGATAGTTTCCCAAGGGTTTTGGCTGCCAATTACTAAGAGTCACAACCAAACTTTGAGTACCAAGTGTCCCTCTTCTGACCTGATCTTAATTTTTCCACATAGGTCCAAAAACAACGCTACCTAAAGATGCTTATACTTTCCTACGGAAAGCTGTTATTGTCACTGATGCTCCCAGTATTTTTCACCACTTAGATCAGTCAACTCACCCATTATGGTCATAGTTGTCAGATGCTGTTATGGTAGACACTGTTAATGAATCCATAATTCTACTAAAGAGTAAAAAACACAGACAAAAAATAAAATCAGATATTTTCCAAGGCAATCAGGATGTTAATCTTGACAGTATTTCAGGACACGAAAAATAAAATCAGAGGAATTTTGACAGGAACTAAAGAAACGATTTCAGGGCACAATACTAGTACTTCTGAGGGTGTGTGTGTGGGTGTGTGTGTATGTGTGTAAAGGACACAGAAAAAAGAAAGAAAATGTAAGAATAATGACTGTTTCTATATCAATGGCTAGTTCCTGGTCATCCTTGATAGGAAATAAACAAGTAGGTAAGTCAAAGATAGCCTAAATTATGTTTAAAACCTTTTGTGAACTTAAAGTAGATTATATGTGTAGAATCATTTTGTTTTCTTTTCGTCTGGATTCATTTTTGTAAGTCATATGGCTATCTTTTACAAAATCAAGACTTCCTAGCACCCAAACCACTGGCTTGGCTAATTTAATCTCTCTACAACTTCATTTCCTCATCTGTAAGTTAAGACACATGCAAAATACACTCCACATCTGTCGACTTCATAAAACCGTGCTGAATATTCAGCATTTTGCAAATATTGGTTTGTAGACAACCTGCTCTCTACACCATATATTATGCCATAAAAATCAGCATGTGGCAATATAAACTGATATTTTTAGTTTCAAATACACGAACATGCTCATCAAAGTAAAAAACTCCCAAGACTCAAGAATTAATGCTCTTTGCCACAATTTGCTAACTTTTCAAATCTTTAAATAAGTTTAAGAAACTGATTGCACATTTTTTTTTTTTTTTGCTGCTGATAAAAACTGGGATTCCCAAGAGTGTGCTGAGGTTTCTGAACTTATTTGACCACAGAATCTCGTTCTCACAGTTGAAATGTGTGAGAAACACATTTTGGAAACAGTATATTAAATGGTATCTTTTTATGTCTTCAAGTTAAAGTTCTGCTACACAAACTAATTTTGGACTGTGATCGATAGCTCAAACCTTTAAGCACAGATAGACATTAATTTTGTGCTATTCTTTCAGCATGTGAGGAAAGGAGTGCTGGAGTTCAAATTATCAAATCTCATTAGCCTGGTCTGAAGGCCATGAAGGGAACCTTTCAAGTTTTAAGTGGGTGCTTTTAGGTGTTTGAATGGCTCATGAAAATTCATCCAGGTCTCAGGAGAAACAATGCCTTTTACAAAAAGAAAAGCATCTAGAGGTATCCACTGCTTTTCCGCAGGAAGAACAACTGGGTTGTCTATGCAGAATACACTAATAAGTCTTAACAGAGGAAAAGGTTCGCAACACCAAAATCATAAGAATTTGAGTTTCTGACATAAGCAGCCTCATTGAATGATTACTGGATTTTTCAGATATCTTCTACTGAGGAAGAGAACTGGAAGACACTCAAATTACTCTTCAGATCCAGGTGACAAGCCAGGATTGCTAAGCAAGTTCCTTGGGAAACTCATTTCCAAAAACGACACAAGACATCCATAGATGTTACCTGAACTCCTTTCAGGGAGATATTGCATGAAGTGTGAAACAGCAGTTTGATAAGCTGCTTGGGAGCACAGAATGACTTCCCTCATGGGACATGAATAAGTAGCTAGCTAAATTGCCTTCTAAGGAAGGTGAGAATGGCAAACTATCCTAAAATTACGTGATCACGCAGAATTCCTAAATGCTTTTTGGTAGATAGGAGAAACCACAGAAGTTTGAGTTAGGTAAAGGTTAGCTGCACCTTCATAATCATGCTACCAGGTTATAAAGAAAAGTAGGTCTCCAATCAAATCTGCCACACATACAGATATTCATTGAACAAAACATTCAGTAGCAAGCAGGCACAGCACATAAGCTTCTGTAAGCTTTCTTTACTTTAGGTGCTCCAAGCATGAAAGGTTCATTCTCAGCAGAGTCCTAATATTCCAGAGGCCAAAATCTTCCTAAACCTTCCTGGAGATGCTGAGATGGGACCACTGAAGCCCGTTCAGTGGCCATCTCTGTGAAGTGGCTTCCGGAGCTGAGCACTAGCTCACCATCCTGAACAAAGCATCCACCATTAGGGCAACCAGCTGCCCCTATAGGAAAGATTAAAGCGACCAGTATATGCATGTTATCACATTGCCTAAAATGTCCTATTTTTAAGGACATTAACAGGTATAGAATGAGGCTTGTTTTATTCTTTAAACTTTTTTCTATTTCTATTATTTTTCTAATTACTTTTCTATTTCTATTTGCTGGGTCACAGACAGCAGCAAATTCCGTAACTTTGGGGTAATACCAGCTCATGTGCAGTAGGAGTAGAAATATCAAAGCTCTCAGTCTACCACCTTCTGCTCCAGAGATGTGGCCCAAGCACACCTTTGGACGTGAAACAGAGCAACCCACGGCAGAGCTGGATTTCTGGGAGTTTCTCCCTGTAAGCCCTGGACCTGCTTACCTGTAGGCTAGACTGCTTCCGGCACCACTGCCGCTCACAAGAGGCTGGGGTCGGTTCAGCTGCTAAAATGACATAAGTCTCAGGTCTTGTGTCTTCAGTACAACTTTCTCTAAGAGGGAGAAATGTATTCAAGATCCCGTTAGCAGCTTTCTCTCCCATTGCCTTTCAGGATTATGGCTTTTCCTTTTTTCATTTTTTAATTCCCAAAACCAAGCTTGTTAGATCAAATCTTTACCCAATTCCTGACAAATAACAAGGTTATTGCTATTTGGCCCTACACCCACTAGTTGTCTCCCAGTACCCTGAGGATAAAGGGACTCTGTAAGGTCCCTGGGAGGGGAAACGAATGTCAATTAGTGGTCCCCCCAGCTGGTATAAGCAAACTTTCCTGTCTGTGGGCCCCAGACACCACCATCTAGTTCCCCCACCAAAACTTTACATGATTTTAATTCTCCTGATGAGGAGGAGAGGACAACATCAGCCAACAGAGAGGGCAGAGGATGGGATGGGACTACCTTGCTCAGAGACCCTCACCTCTAGGTCTTTACCTCGTATTGAGAAGAAGCCAGTACTGGAATAAGAACTGTGTGTCCATAGCAACCCCAAACAGAATCCTGTGCTCTTGAGATTCTCCTAGAGTGGGGAACAGAACGAGCTTGGTCCAAGAGTGCAGAGACTTAAAAACATGCTGTTCTGCCACACATACAGATACTCATTAAAGATGAGGGAGAAGGGCATGGGGTGGGGGACAACGTACCAAAACCAAAGACCACAGGATAATAACCTCAGAGCAGAGACGATCTCTCCAGTTATCTTTTCTTTTGCATGTCATGGAGGGGATTCTTCTTATTTACTCTGGTGAAGACGTTTATGTCAAGTGTTCGGTTTCCTTTGTGGGTTACAGAGAATAACCAGAGGGCTCAGTGTTTTCTAGACCATATTAAATTTCACTAAAATAAGCAAGGTTGATAGGACTTGCGGGGGAAACTTCATTGACTCAAGCTATCATTTTATAGGATGGTGAGAAAACAAATAGTTGTACATTTAAAATACACTCATATTCTAGGTAGAAGAGAGGATTTGGAATGTTCTTACAGGAAAGAAATGGTAAATGTTTAAGTCAATGGATATGCTAATTACCATGATTTGATTATTATACCATGTAAAATATACTGAAACATCACACTGTACCTCATAAATATGTACGATTTATTATGTGTCAATTAAAATTTTGATTATAAGAAAAAATGAACTTCAATTGTAAGAAAACAACCCAACTTTTAAAAAATGAGCCAAATGGCTGGGCGCGGTGGCTCAAGCCTGTAATCCCAGCACTTTGGGAGGCCGAGACCGGCGGATCACGAGGTCAGGAGATCCAGACCATCCTGGCTAACACGGTGAAACCCCGTCTCTACTAAAAAACACAAAAAACTAGCCGGGCGAGGTGGCCGGCGCCTGTAGTCCCAGCTACTCGGGAGGCTGAGGCAGGAGAATG